CACACACACACACACACACAGAGTTACAATTGAGCGAAGTCACAACAGCAAAAAAAGTAAAACAGCAGATTTTCACCTTAAAGAATCCAACCACCGTCAGCTCCTCTGAGGCCTCTGATAGGCTTCGATCAGTGATGAGGTCAGTAGCAGATCCCGCCCTCCGTTTCAGCCAGGTCAGGATGGACGCCGCGCTCAGAGGAACTAAACACAATTCAAGAGCAATAATCTTCCAGGCGTTTTGTTCTGTGGTCGAATTCTGCGAATTGGTCTGACGGTCAAACACTAAAGCTGCATCTCTCGAAATAAGAAACAAAAATTCTCTTTGAGATGGATCCTTACTTTGGTCTTTTTTTTCCTAAATGATTGAGATTTATTTTCAAAACATAAAGCTGATTTATAAATCATTTGGTATTAGGGTTCCGGGCAGAGGACATGAATTATGGTTTGCAACTAACAATTATTTTTATCATTGATAAAGCTGCAAAATATTTTCTTATCCAAGCAATTAAACTGTGACTTGTTTTGTTTTTAATATTAATAAAAAAATGTTTTTATTGTTGGCTTCATTTTCTTTTTAATTGCACTGCTGTACCGCTCTATATTAGACCACTGCTTGTTTTTCTAGACACAAATAATGAATCATGCAACATCATCTTAATTCACAAGTTGCCCATTTATATTGTTGGCTGCAGATATATTGGAAAACATGCAAATGTCTGGATGCAAACTAAAAAGGGAAACTTGGGTTGGAATATATTTAGAGGGTGAGATTTGGCTGCCATGTTTAATTTGTACTTATTAGATTTGAAGATCATTCAACCTGGTAAATTCTGGGCAGAAACCCCAGACCTTTTAATACCTTAACAACATTTGAGCTGTTTGACACCGGGAATTTTACTACAGTATTACAGCTCCATGTTAATAAAACAATAAATCCAGCTCCATAAATGTGCTCTATTATATCTGCGTCTTCAACGTACCAGGGCAGGGGACAGGGTCGTGTTTATCTCCGCCAAGGTACAGCCTGATTATTGGAGGACCTGTGGCGTTGAGAGCTTTCGCCAGCTCCTTCTCCTTTGTGACATCAACGACTCCCAGCTTGACCTCTGACCCCTGAAGCTTCGCAGCGGCACCTTTAAAAGCTGCTGATGCACGATGGCTTTCTGCAGACAGAGGAGCATCTGCACATGGACACACACACACACACACACACACACACACACACACACACATACATAATACAGCAATAAGGACGTAAGGAATATGCTGCAGTGTGAGGTGGTTATTTGGCTTTAAGGCAAATACACGTACAAACCATTTAATTGTTCTGTGGTGGCACTTTTTAACTTTAGTCTTTATGTGAACATGTAGGTCAAGATCAATCAGTGTGTGACTTACAGAAATGCACCAGGAGCTGTTTGTATTTTCTCAGTGCCCTTTTGAAATTCCCTTTCTTCAGCTGTAAGACTCCGTCCTCCTCTGGGACAGATTTGTCGCCCTGTCGCTCATGATGCTGGTCGGCGGCGGCGACAAACGCACACAGACAGAAGGCCGACAACCCCAACAGCAACAGTCTACTCATGACGGCTCAACAGCAATCTGACAAATTGGTCACTGGAACAAGCTTGAAGGGAAGGTATGAAGGGCGTGGCGAGAGGAAGGGCTGATGTGTGCATATCAGTGTGTGTGTTTGGTGTAGGTAGTACTCATGTTGTGAGGACCTCAATCTGTTTAGTCACATTATAGTGACATGTCATATACATACAAAAAAGTCCCCACAAAAAAAAGTTCAGGTGTTTTAAGGTTAAAGTGTGTGTGCGTGTGTGTGTGTGTGTGTGTGTGTGTGTGTGTGTGTGTGTGTGTGTGTGTGTGTG